GACGGAGGGCATCTGCTTCTGGCCTTACCCGCAGCATCTGCGTGAGCTTGTTCCCTTCCTGCAGAGCAATTTGGCCGTGTTGGTCACACAAAAAGAGTGTGACCAGCCGGGCGAGGGGAGGGGGTTCTCCCCCTCTGCTCTGCTCTGGTGACGCGCCGCCTGGAGCGCTGCATCCTGTTCAGGAGCCCCCAGGACAAAAAGGACATGGATCTGCTGGAGCAAGTCCAGAATAAAAGTTGAAGAGCAGCATCGCAGTATCTGCTTGATACAAATGATCTCCAGTATGATATTTAGTGATGATTTACCTGTAGTGGTCATGCTGTGGTCCTGTAGCTATCGTTTTAAATAATAAAAATGATGGCTCTGCATGATTTTCCTGTATATTGCTCTGTATGTTCCAAGTTGTGACAGACGCTGTGAGTACCTCAGGCTTGTCTTGAATTCTTTGTCTATTTTATTTTTTTTCAGATGTGCTGAAAGGCATTACGACACCGCCAAATTTAACTGCAGAGGTATGTTTTTCCTTCTAGTATGTGTTTTTTCTCTCTAAACTTCGGTGTTTCTGAATGAAGCTGTAAAGGAGGAGCTGATGAATAGTAATGTAGGAGACTTGGGCACAAGGAACGATGTCCGGTTGCTTTCAGTCATTGGGGAATATATTCTTGATGCTTTCAGAAAAATATGTTCCTGACAGTTAACTAGATCAAGGTCTACTAAAGCAATTGGAAGTTCAGTGTTGCAGAACTTACTGAAGAATGGGTTACATAGCGGTTTCTGATAAATTTGCTGTGCAAACTTCCTGTAAAGTTTAGATATGAAGCTGAGAAGTCTGGTTTTTATGCAGAAGCATCACTTGAAATAGGAACGAACAGCGCTTAACCCACTGTCAGTATTCATATAAAACAACTTTTGGAGGATTGGGAACAAACCTTCAGTTGCTTTTATGTTTTAAAAAGAATTAATTCTCACTTGATGCCTCTTTGAGATGAGTTGGTTCTTAGACGCTTTGCAGTGCTGCCAGAACCAGTGCAGAAACTTTTAGGAGTTAATTTAGATGGGACCCTTGGAGAGTGGGCACTGACGTACCTATTTTGTCTCCATGCTTCAGAATGGTTGGGTAGTTAAGGAGTTCTTTTGTGTACATGGTTGTAGGAGATGAATAAATTTCAGTCTTACTGGCTAATAGTACATCATAGCAAGGTCTCAACTTCTTCTTTTTTATTATTATTATCAATATTTTAAACCATCCTTCTAGTTCTAAGGAGTGGAGTGTGTTTAGAACGTGACCAAAGTGTAATTGGCTGCTTTGATAGCTGAATATAGAAGGACTGAAGTTGTCATGTTGAAGTCATCTTCACTTCTCGTTTGCTCTTACGAGGCTGAATAACAATGTCCTCGCTCAATACAGGCAAACCAGAAAAGATTATTTTAAGATCTGCTTGAGCAATACTTTGGTAAGAGGAGAAGAGATGTAAATGGAAAGACCGTATTTTTAATAAATCCAGAACACATGCTTGCTTTAATTTATGCTTTCTGTTACGGGGGTGCTCAGATCCCTGCCCTAGCCCCAGGTGTTGTTTGTGACAGCACCTTTCACAGCTCACCTGCATAAGGCAGCACTCTTGTAGGCAGCTACATGTTGCATTTTTTTCATTTCATCCTATTACCTTAGATAACCAAACTGGTGACTCAGGACTTCCCGTAGCAGAAAACAAGAGTTCTGCTCTTAACAGCACAGAATGGTTTGCGTTGGAAGGGACCATAAAATTCATCTAGTTCTAGTCCCCCTTCCACCAGCCCAGGTTGCTCCAAGCCCCATCCAGCCTGGCCTTGGACACTTCCAGGGACGGGGCTTCCACATCTTCTCTGGCCACCCTGTGCCAGTGCCTCACCACCCTCACAGTAAAAAACTTCTTCCTTAAATCTAGATTACATGAAAGGATATTTTCAAAATCTTCTGAAGTGACTTGATTTCAAAGAGAACTTCTTATTTGTATGCTTAGGGTAAAAGACCATAGTAGTACATCATTCAGCTTGATGCTTGTTCGTCAAATTCCAAACCAGACGTTGAAAGCTCTTCGTCTTCACTGAACGCTAACTTTCTGTCTACGTTGGGTTTGCAGTTGTGGTAGTACTTCAGTACTGCAAATTGGCTTCTGCTTTTCCACAGGCTTTCCTTCTTTTTTTCACTCTGTTATGTGCTATGGGAATTTTTTTTTTTTTCCTCAACCTCTAGGAGCTTGGAGAGAGTAATCGGAACCTTTCTCCAGGCTATGTGCCCCAGTGTTAGGAACCAAAATCCGTGGAGGACCTACACCCTCTCAAGGACCTGCTCAAGGCTGCGCAGCCTAATGTTTCCTAAGGTTGCTTTCTGACCCTTAATCCCCATCACAGGGCACCCATTTCATCTGCTCCTCGTGCCATCTTTGAAGAAAATCCTGCAAGGTTTGCCTTTAATCCCAAATCTCGGAGAGCATCTTCAGCATGCTGTTACTACTTGGGATTTTTCAGGCTATTCTCTCAGGACTACTGTGTCCCTCCTTTTTCTTTTTATGGGAACACTACTGGATGCAGTTAAGGTAGACTAGAAGTTTTGTGGACAAATCTCCAGCATCTCTAACAGCCTCTTAGGGGCCTCTAAATAAATTCTTCCTTTCATTTACGTCTGCTGCAAAAAGTGACGTCTCTGTGCTGCGTTCACATGAAATAAATATTTGGGGCGTCTTTGGATCTTTCATGTGGAAGAGTTGGTTAGCGTGTGTTTTGTATTCATTAACCTTTAGCAAAATTAGTTGCTTTATTGAGCTTTCTGCATTTGGTCTTTGGGAAGATTAAGTGGGTGGTCTGTGCTGCGAGTGAATAAACTGTCCTTGCGGATCCCACCGAAAGGCTTCGGGCTTGTGCTGCGGTAATTTAGCTTCAGCCCTCACTTCTGCTCTTTAAATCCTTGGGGATTCGTCAAAAGGAGCCTCACACGAGTGACAAGAGAGTAGCGCTTACGATAGGAATACAAACACTTGCCAAAAAATGGAACGTATTTGGTTTTAGACCAGAGAAGGAAATGGTGTTTCTAGCTGTGAATTCCAGTTGAACCGGACTTGGACTTGTAAGATCCAATGTCCGTCGATTGCGGATCCGGGTGCGCTTTAGGAAGAGCTGGCCTCCTGACGAGTCTACCACAGCTCTGCGCGATTCCACCAGTCATCGCGGCGTTGTCTGTCATCTTGTCTGAGGTGTTTGGGGGCTTGTCGCTGCTTTATTGCTTGTTTTTTTGCTCCCTAGAGATTTCTTTCATTTCCTGCATGCTTGCTTGAAATTCCATTTCTAGATGGGAGAGAAATATGTGTGTGTATATATATCCATATGAGAAAAAGGACTTTAAAACCCATAAGTACTGCAAGTGACTGAGATTTCTTTCTCAATTGCAGTGTTTTAATACGGAAATGGCTTTGCTTTTTTTTTTTTTCAATCTCCCTTGAGCAAATTCTGAGACTTTTGTTCCCAACATAGAGCCAACTGTGCTCAGAATTTTTCAGCAAAGTTCCTGTTGTCTGGTCAGTGGCTGAGGTCTGGCCCTGTTTTCTCTCGGCAGGTACTCTAATTATTGCTAGAATATTGCGTTTTCACGAGGTTATTCTTTGTGCCGGCACACTCTTAAACTTAGGATTGTAAGATACACAGTCTGTGCCACTCGGTAGCAGCGTTAAACAGTCTCTTTGGGTAGCAGGATGCTTGCTTATGTATTTCTGCAGAAGTGTCTGCAATGCATAGAATACGCAGTACATTGCTGAATAATAATTGGAATTAAGAGTTTACGTATCTGTATGTAAGACAAGGTGTTTCTTTTGTTAATTTTTTGCCTGCCTGTCGCAACATTGACTTGTCTAGTTGAGCTTGCGGTAATTTCCCTTTGAGATTTGTTTTATATGGATTGCTCCTTCTCGTTGCAGTTGCACAGTACCCTTTTGAAGACCATAACCCACCACAGTTAGAGCTTATCAAACCTTTTTGTGAAGATCTTGACCAATGGCTAAGTGAAGATGACAATCACGTTGCAGCAATCCACTGTAAAGCTGGAAAGGGACGAACTGGTGTAATGATATGTGCATATTTGTTGCATCGAGGCAAGTTTTTAAAGGCTCAAGAAGCCCTAGATTTCTATGGGGAAGTGAGGACCAGAGACAAGAAGGTGAGCTCTTTTCTGTTGTTCTACCTGTATCTTTATGCTTTTCTGCCTGAGGGCAATTTGAATAGTCAAGTCCGTTAAGAAATACTTCGGTCGCTCGTGGTATCTGGCTTGATTTAGCTTTTACATTGTTGTATCAGTCTGGTTGTTTTTAATTGCTGCCGCTGCTTAGGAAAGCTTTTTCATTTGTCACAGCACTAAAACAGTCAGGTGTTTCCATCTCCTGGTCAAGAAGGTCCGGACAGCTTATTTTAAATAGCTCTTTTAAATAGCGTTCTGCTATTATGTGTGTTGCATCCAATTGGGTGGCTGACGAGGGAGCTTTCTCGTTCAGCATTTTCAGCTGAAATAAGAGGATTATTCTGGCTTGTTTTGCCTGAATGGACGAGTTGCTTATCTCCTCAGGTTCTCCTAACTTCTGTGGTGGTGTCTGGAGATATGTGGTCACTATGGCGTGTGTTTTTTGGTTTTTTTTCTTTTCTTTTTAGAATCTTGTCAGTGGTACAGACAGACTTAGTGGTGACTGATACGGTTATGCCTCATTAATGGGAACCTAACCTCCAGCCACTGACTCTGTGGCTTTTGATAAGAGCGCATGATAGCAAATAAGAATGAGCTGTGTGATTGTAAACAGTGCAGATTACTCCTGCTGGTAAAGATTATCGAAAGAGATGGATAAAATATAATGAAAACAAGAAAACTGACCAAACACACGGTGAAGCATGTTGTTCCCTTCAGTAAAAGGAGAGTAGTGTTTCTGCACGTTGGTGTGGTGAGGGTAAGGTCACTTGGTGTTGGTCAGTACCGCACTGGGGTGTTTGAGGTGATGGAGAATTTAGCAAGCAGGATAGTGAGAGTCTTGTTTCACTTCGCTCTAAATATTGTCTGTAAACAGCAACTTTGTTTTGGTATTTGTCTCCACTGGAAGAGTTGTTTTTATTTTTTATTTTTTTCCCAAATCAACTTAAGTGTGGTTATCTTTGTGGGCATTGAGCAGCAGGCAGCATGTAGTTCACATAATCCTTCATGGTTATAAACAGGTATTTCAGTGCAGGTTCTGGGAGTATTTTCTTTCCTTTGTGGCCCCTATTTTGGTGTTACATGTCAAGTGCTGCTCTCTGATTTGACACCTTTATGTAACTGACTTCCTAAACTCAAATGAGGCATCCAAAGAGCGTGGCAAAGTGATTCTCAAGAGGGTTTAGTCCATACTGGCAGGAAGGGTCAGTCTAATTGCGAGCGGAAGTATGACTAATTGGTAAAGAGAATAACCTCTAGTACTTCTGTACTGAGCTTGTCCCAAGTGCCCGTTGGGAAAAGCAGCTTCAGAGAGGCCTTTGCAGTATTAAGTAAGAGTTGTTGTAGGTAAGGCTGACAGTTTCTACAGAGCCTCTTAGTGTGCGGTCATGATGGAAAAGGAGTGAGGAATAAGACGTTGCAGAGCTGAGTCTAAAAGTCTGTCTCTGACAAGCTAAGTTGGGGGTTTTTCCCCCTCTGAGGATTGATCGTAGTGCAAAGAGCTTTTTTTTTATTTTTTTTTTAAGGGAATGATGAAGATTAGAAAGTATTGGCTAAATGGATTCTTTATCAGTCCTCAGCACTGTGGTAGGAGAGGGCTGATTTCTGTTCTCTGTTTGAACCAAGAGAGACAAACTGTTTTCCAAGATTGGATAAAGAGCTGTGATTGTCCAGCCTGTTTTCAGAGCTGGGAGAGAAGTAAACCTCCCCCAAAAAATTCTGCTTAAAAAAGCCGCTGCTTCCACTGTTTTAATGGGTTAGCTTATCACCTATTTTTTCCTTAAGATGGACCCTGAAACACCACTGTGGTGACAACGACTGACAGCTTACCCTCCTACAGCTGGAGAAGGTCTTTATTCCTGCTTCTGCCTTGAAGGGTTTTATGCTGAGGGTCAAGATTAGGAGGAAGTGTCGTCCACTCAGTGGATAGGTGTCAGCTGGGAACAACTATTTGCAGAATCACAGAATTGTTGAGGCTGGATTCGAGTGCTTGAGCTGGAGATGAGCCCTTCAGGAGCATTCTCAGACCGTCACACTGTTGTCTTTTTAGGAGCGGCTCCTAACGGTGGTGTAACTGCACGGGAAATGAGAAGCAGTTGCTTTGTGCGAGGAAGTCTCAGAATGACTCTGAGCAGGGGAGAGATCCAGCGTCTGATGCGTCAGAGCTGATGGTCGCGATGCCTGTTCGTTCGATGGACTCGGGTGGCAATCTCTGCTAAGCCTCTTCGGAGGCTGCAGCTTTAGTTTTACTCTTCAGCTTTAGCTTTACTCTTGGAGTAGGGCACAAGACGAAAGTGTTTGTTCTTAATTCTGCCCGTGCTACGTTGAAAGGAGAACCAGGAGCAGCACCTGACAATTTTTGTGATGTCCACGCAGCTCTTCAGTGTCCTGTGACACTCTGGCATAGCGACTGGAGAAGCTTATCTGATGTCCATTTGAAAAATGATGATGGTGATAGGTGGGGAGTGTAAGCTTCTCAAGGAGAAAATACTTAAACTACTTCACAGAATCACAGAATGTTAGGGTTCCGTGGTTTTTATTCTTCTTGAGTAAAAAATGAGGATTCGTTGCCTGTCTTACAGTACGAGCTTGTTACAAAAGTACTCTGCTCTGAAATTAGACCTTTGGAAAATGGAGAGCTTTCCGTTCTCTTTCAGTGATGCTGATTCTTAGGATCTCAGGATAAAAGTCTCCAGGGAGTAAAACATCTCTGGCTGACGTGATGAAACTGCCCTTTTGACTGAGAACTGGTTTTGCTTTGAGATCAACTCTAGCCACAAAGCTCACAGTGTTCTGATCATTCTGGTCCTAGCCCTGGTTGTCCTCCTAAGGTGTGCTGGGGTTTCTCCATGGGGCACATCGTTTACGGCGTGAAGAAGATGCAAGCAGAGAAGGATGCATTTTCCTTACCTGCATGGTTTTCTTCTGATTAGCAGCACTGGCAAATTACTGATGGTTTTCTCCGAGGCTGGAATTTTCTGAGTCATGAAGCTCGGATCCCAGGAAAGCAATCTTTAAAGCTCCTTAAGAAATGAGGTGACGTCTGAACCAAACCTGTGGTCAGTATAGAAAGCTATTTGAAGAAAGTCAGTGTAGAAGTGCTGCAGGGAAAAGTCTTCTGTGTAATCTGGAAACAGCTGAAGCACCAGGGAGACATAATTATTGACCTTTTCTTTAAAAATAATGATAGGAAGTGAGTGTTCTCGTGTGTGCGGAATAGATGCTTAGTAAATCAAAAATAGTCTGGCCGGTCTCAATTTATGGCTGTTGAAAGGTGGAGCCGGTATTAGAACTGACAGTTTATAGAAATACTATGTTCTAGGTTGTGTGAGCAAAATGCTCATGGGCTCCTATATGAAAACCTTTTGTTTGTCTCCAGTTCATTGCAATCGCACGTTTAGTGTTCATATGAAAGTTCACTTACCGGTGCTGTTGCAGGTGTTCAGGATTATTAGAAATCATGTAATGCCGTTTCTAGGAAGTAAAATCACTTTTCAACTTTATCACTTTTGCTTGAAAGTGTTAGCTAGAAGAGCATTAAAACTATTTCCTTCCTTGAAGTTTATGTAAGATCAGTAATAAAACGTTCCTTGCTTATATGTTCTCAAAGGAAGTGTTTAGTGCAGAGCTGGAGTTCGTTTGAAGCCTTTCACCTCATGGTTTGGGCTGCTGGGCCTCTATTAATGAAACGTTCCACTTCGGAGTTCGGTGAAAACGCTTCAGAAGGGTGTTTTGTAATACAGGGTAGCATGAGTCTCGAGTATGGCGATACTGGCAAACAAAACTAGAATCTTTGGATGTAAGCTGCTGTCAAAATGCAATTCCTGTGTCGGTGCTTAAAAATGGTCAAGTTACGGTAATGTCTGACACTCTCCACCCTGCAAAGGAAACCCAGCAGCACGAAGCCATCTTTTACGTGACCCTCAGGGTGTGTGAAGTGTTTGCTTCTAAGATAGGGAAAAAAAATCTGCGTTCTTTGCCTTATTGCTTGAAATGGGTGTTTGGAGATACGTACCAAAGCTGAAAAACCAATGTGATGCTTGTGCTGTGCTGGGGACCGATCGGTAATTAATTGCCTGGTGTTCGGTGACGTGCGCCAACAGCCTCCTTTTAAAGGCTCTGCAGGATGAGTACGAGGGGTACAGACGCGTGCCTGGGGAGAAGGGGAACGCGTGTGGGAGGACGTCTTTGGGAATGGTTTGGACGTGGATTGTGTCTTTGCGAGCCCTTAAGGTGTCTGGGATGCTCCGCAACGAAGAGATCGCTGAGGGTCATCGAGTTGCTGTACTAAAAACCAGCGTGGCTGGGTTGCTGTGTGGTGTAAAAAGGAGTGCACCTGTCTAGGTACAGCCAGCTCGGGTGCTTTATGCTGTGTGCCAGTCTCCAGTGTTGCTGCTGCAGAGGTGTACTCAGCATAGGTCATGATGCTTTAAGATAACTTTTCATTTGTGGTTTATTTGCGTTTACTTCAGAGGGAATCATAGAATGTTAGGGGTTGGAATGCACCTCTGGAGCTCCTCTAGTCCAACCCCAGGAAGAGAATCTCTGTTAGTGACGCTAATTAATGGTCCTGATGGTTTTTTGACGCTTGTTTTCCCTCTGTTTAGGGAGTGACGATTCCCAGTCAGAGACGCTATGTATACTACTATAGCTACCTGTTAAAGAATCACCTGGATTACAGACCAGTGGCACTGCTGTTTCACAAGATGATGTTTGAAACAATTCCAATGTTCAGCAGCGGAACTTGCAGTAAGTACCCAGCACCCCGTTAAACTCCCTCAGAACTCGCAAGGAAACGCATCGGCCTTTGGACTTGGTTTGGATATGTCACGGTTACTCTTCCGCTACATCATGAGCTGCACGTCTTGATAGAGGAGAAAATCATATTTAAGATCTTCAGGTTCCAAAACTCGTTGGGTAGTGTGGTCTGTCCGCTAGCGTCCTCCCAGGTGTAGTCAGTTGAGGTCTGCAAAGGACTCGTGTGGCTGTTTCACTGCAGTTTTAAATCATTCTTTCCATGATGTTTGAAAAAAATGAAGCAAAAATCAGTTCAACTGGGTAAATATCTAACTCTGGAATGAATTTTTCTTTGTATGGAGGCTTATAAAGTATTAGTACACCTGTAAACAACTAATCTGCTTTTGTGATTTGCAGTGTGTGTGTTAGTAAGGAAAAGCAGATTCCGTGAAACTCTGAAGTGTAAATATGAGTTCACTTCTCCTGTGGGCTGTGTTACAGGGCAGTAACTGCCTAGTGATGTTCAGTTTTTGTTAGCAGAAAAAGTCTAATGGTTTTGCCATGAGGTTTACTGTAATGTGTAATTAATTCCAGTGCCTCCCGTGGCTTTGATTAAAATTGCACTGTTAGTGTTGTAAGACAGACTCGCATGAGAAGCAGTCAAGCAACTTGTCAGGCTCGCTGTATTTATGGGAGGAGGAAGGGAGGAGCCTCTGCCCCAAAAGCTCTGCCTCTAGGGTGGAGGTGTGGAGGTTACAGATTTCTGCAATTACCACTTACTGAATGTTTTGGATAAACGGTGCTATACTTAGGAAATCAAGCCGCGAGTACGAATTTTTCGCATGAGTATTAACTTGTTTGTCCCTACCAGGCTGTTTTCCCAGTCGGATGTTGGGATGAACAACTGATTTGCTAAGCACCTGAGAAGGCAGAGTAGCTATCAACTTCAGCATCTTTGTGTGCTGCAATATTTTTCATTTCGGTGGATTTTTCCTAGTGTTCAGATTAGGAAACCAGAGGTCTGTGTTATTTCTTGAGTTATAGACCGCGATGGTAGTAATTTTACCTGAAATCTGACCTTTAAATGTTACCTCCCTTCTGTTTTGAAGTCGCTGACCCAACAGTCACACCTCGCAGGCAAAACCCTCGCAGGATTTCATGGCTCTGAGGACTTGAGGGAGATAAGTAGCAATTTTTATAGCTAGGCCATTCAGCAAGATCGCGTGGGGATGCTCAGTAAGGACTTAGAGAGCTCTGCAGGGAATGGTTTTGGGGCGGCCACGCGCTTGACATCGGGCTGTGAGTCAGCGTGTAGTGTCTAGAGAGCGGTCTTCACCTGGTTGTAACAGAGAAGTCGGGAGGAAACGTAGAAAGGCTTCTTCACATAAGTTTCGTTTAATATTTCTGACTTTTGTGCTGGTGTCTGGCGATTTCCAAAGAAAATCTACTTAGGTGGCACCAAAAAAAAAAAAAAAATCCTAATTCCAGCTGTTAACCGTGCAGATTGAGCTGGGAAAGTTACGTTGTGGCTGGCATGGTTTTGGTGATGGTGGTTGACAGGACAGGCTTTGGGTCTGTGTCTGTATAGTCTGTCGATGCTGGTTGTGTATGAATGTTAAATTTTGTCCTTGTTTTGGTTTGTGTAAAGGTTCTCTTTGGGTGAGGGTAGCAATCAGTTTGTGCTGGCCTGACGGCCCACTCTGGAATTTGAAGAGATGAGACTAAAACACCTCGGTAACGTCCGTATACTAGAGATGAGAGGCAATACACACGGAAAAGTCAAGAAGTTGTCATGACGTGTAGCATTTCTTACTGTATTAAAAAGAAAGGACAACTTGCTAGGAGCCTCTGTAGGGTATTATTACAGAAGGCAAATCTTTGAGGTTGTTTCCAGTAACATCTGTGGTGCTTAACTTCTGATAAAAACTTAGCAAATATCGTTTCTCGTGACTGTGGTTTTGATACTAATATTGTGCTTTTTTGACACATAAAGGCATTTTTTATTATATTTTTTTTTTTACGAAGTCATGCTCTGTTTTACCACGCAGATCCTCAGTTTGTGGTGTACCAGCTAAAGGTAAAGATATTCACCTCCCCTTCAGGACCCTCAAGACGTGAAGACAAGTATATGTACTTTGAATTCCCTCAACCTTTGCCGGTATGCGGTGATATCAAAGTGGAATTTTTCCACAAACAGAACAAGATGTTGAAAAAGGTTGGTTTCCTTGCTTTTTCGTTTTGTTTTTGTTTTTGGAAAAATGTTGTCGAGCTGATCCTGATGCAAGGCTGGGATGATGGTTATTCTTCGGTGGTGTTAAATCCTAGGGTTTACTTCTTTGATGTCTAGTTTTCCCAAGGAGGGAGCCTACCATGAAACAAAAGCTGGAAATTTTGAAAGCTGGTGAGATGAAGTACAAAGGTTGGATAAAAATTATACTGGATGTGTATTGCAGTCGTTTTGGGTAGCAGTGAGTAATCTAATTGAGGAAGAAACATTCTCCTTCTAAAAATAGATTTGCATGCTGAGCAAGTTAACTCCAGCTGTTTTCTTCACTAAATTTTCCTAAGGTTTGAGCAGGCACAGAAGATCCTGTCTGTGTGCCGTTGGCTGATTTCTATCCATCTGTCAAGTTTCGTTGAATTTCCAAAATAATTGAGTTCCTATGTGTTTGGTAGAAGTATCTCTGCAATCTCTTCAGCCGTCCCTCAGTTCGCAGTTGCGGTGCCTTGCCATTACACGTTTAGAGAATTTACGGAGAATTTTATCAGTGTGTCAGTTGTCAAAGTAAGTTCTAGATAAATTTTTTTCTGTGGCAGTAAGCGAGTTCTTAAAGATGAATGCCTCGTCACTGGATTTATTAGCTCTGGTGCTTATGAAGCTAGTTTGCGTCTACTGAAGTGAAAGGTGAGGATGTGATCACATTGATTAAAGGCTACCCTCGTATTGAGTAAAAATTCTTTGCGAAGAGTTGTTCGCTACTTAATGGATGTTACAAACCTGAAGAGTTGAGTGAACATACATCGAGTGAGCCCTGTGTACTGGCAAAGCATAAAAATAAGAAAATACTAGAGTGGATTGGGAGAGAGACCTAAGTGATGTCTTCTGTAACTGCATACGCAGGTGGTACCTAATAGCTGTGTGTGTAAATACATGTGCAGGCTGTTTTGTGGGGTTCTTCAGTGGCCAGGAAATGTTAACTAGGTTAGCGGTGTCGTTTCACTAGCTGGAACGTTGTGTTGTGCTTGCTACACGTTGATGTCAGCGGAAGTTGTTTGATTTTTATTTTTTTTTAAACAGTTTCTTAATGGGAATATTTTCCTCTGCCTATTGAATGCAAGGTGTTAGTTGGTGAGTGCGGTTATATGCAACAGGGAGAACAGTGAAACAAAACATTTTGAAAGTAAAAATTCTGCCTTAAGACGGCATGAAAATTCTGGGTGTTGAGAGAACCGCGACGCGCAGGAGCTGGTTTTAAGAAGGGACTTTCAGAGGAGCGGGTAGGTAAACGCTGTGGGCTAGACATCAGGGATGCAGGGAGGAGATGAAACAAAACCCAAACTTCTGAGACGAGGTCTTCTTTCTTCTGGTCTCTGTCCTGTCTTAACTGTGCCTTTGTCATTTGTTTGGTAACACGTGGATTGCAAACGGGCTTTGTAGGAAGCGGCGTGTGTCTAATTGCCCTTGACTTTGTGTGAGAGTGGAGACCAAAAGGTTGTAGGTGTATGCTCTTGGACAATCTGGTGAGACCACCCCTGTTAACTCTTCTGGCAGTGCAGGGAAGAACTGAGAGCATCTGGGACTGGCTCAGCGGATCCTCTCAGATGTAAGTCTATTTTATGAAGCCACTGCTGAGGTCTTCATTATGGAAATATTCCATCTCTGACATGTGCTTTGGCACTAGAGGAGATCCATCCCCACGGTCCGTTTGACAGCTTGCTACGTAAAGTTACTAAGATAGGAATAGGGTGAATATTTGTGGCAGAAAACTTGCCTTGGCACGAAGTTGAACACATTTCTCTGTCAAGTGTTTCACATCTGTGCCTGTTCCTTTTCTAGATAAACTGACCCTACACAGTTTTTTGCTCAAAAGCCTAGAATTGAGGGCCTTTCACTGTGGAGACTCATCACATTTTGGGGAAAATCAGCTATCTGCAGTGATCACCTAATCAATGAGGAATGAGATAACTGGGAGTAACAGGTTGTTACCTTTCTGAGATCCTGGTTTATTCATGTGTGTTTGTGAAAGCTGGAATTACAGGTCTGCCCATTGCTGGGTCGGACTCTCCCGAGGTTTTCTGTGAGCACATTTTTAGGTAGCTGCTAACCAAGTTTTCTTGCACACACTAAAAGGCATCCTGTATCTAGCAGTCTGCATTTTAACTTTTGATAAAAAAACTAATTAAAAAATAGTAACACTGAAACTGTAATTCTTGATCCATTCTGGGCCTCAGACTGGAGAATGGCTGTGTCTCATCCGTGGAGATAAAGGAGACTTCTGTGTCCTCTTGCTCTGTCTGGTTTGGTGTTTGACACCACTGATCTCAGCTGACATCTCCAGATTGCTCTCCTGTACTTACTTTCAGATTTCTTCATCTTCTGAAGAGCAGTAGCATTATCTGCAGAGCTCTCTAGTGTGAACAGTCCTTTTCTACTTCCGTCAAGCTGCTCTTGAAACCAGAGAAACGTGAAACCAGAGAAGCTTAAATGGCCGACCAAGTGACTTGTAGTGATTTGACCCTGGCTGGAGGCCAGGTGCCCCCCACAGCCACTCTGTCACTATCCCTCATAGGGGAGAGGAAATAAAAGGAAAGGTTCATGGCTCAGGATAAGGATGGGGAGATCACTCAGCAATTACCATCCCAGGCAAAACAGACTCAACTCGGTAAATTAATTTATTACCAATCACATTAGAGAAGGGCAATGAGAAATGAAATAAAGTCTTAAAAAACCCAACCAAACAAAACTAAAAACACCTTGGTTCCACCTATCCCTTCTTCCCGACTTGCAGTTCCTGGCCTGCAATTCCCCAGTCACTTTTTTGCCCTGCTTCTTAAATGGCTAGTGAGAGCTGACCTCAGCCAAAGGATTATTTGGGCTAGAGAGATGTTGCTAAGAGGGTGGCTGCTTTGATAAAGTTACCCTGTTTCAGCTGTGCCACCTGGCATCAGTCCACAAGCTTTGGTCTTTTCTTGTCTAATGAAGTTCTTTAGTTTATTCTTGGACCATTTCTTCAGTATTTTGTAGCTACTTCTTCAAAAACGAAATAAATGCTCATGTTGAGAACAAAATGGCTTCAGCCTCAAATAAGTTATATACGAATTTCTCATGGATACAAGTTAATTTGTAGGGTTTTTTAGAGCATGTTTTTTCTGTTCCTGTGACTTGTAGATCGGCCTTTCCATCTCAGACTGCTGCTTTAGTCTCTCTAGGTTTACTTCCGTGTATCTACGTGAAGCCTTTTTCTTCCAGTTATTGATGTTGACGTGATAATCTTCAAGTATTTCAGAGTATCCCTGTACTACTTGGTTTAATGAGAGTCTATTTAAAAATAATACAGAGCATCTCATAATCTTCCTGCCTTGCAGAGCCTGGGGATAAAGGAGACCTTTTTCAGGAGTCTTCCCAGTATAGATGAGCGGGAAACGGTGTGGGTGGGTTGTTTGTTTGTTTGTTGGGGTTCGTTTAGCTCATTTGTTATGAGTCACTGCTGTTTTATACCCAGACTCTAGTGTAGGCAGGGCTGACAGCATGGCTTGAGCTGTTGGCTGTGCCATTTCATCGCTTGAGTCTATATGGATGAAAAGTTCTGCCACACGCTACAAGAGGGTTTGAGGTGGTTGCAAACACTGAAGAATGACAATACCAGAAGACTTTAGCTGTTGATCTGAGAAATGATGTAAGAACTTCCATCAGTCGCGATAATGGGAAGGCTGTGAGGCCAGCATGGAACAGGTTGAAAGAGGATTTCCATCTTCTGACTGCTAGACAGCCTCTCCAAACCCCGTAGTTGGTGCTGCAAAGTAAGTGCCTGTAGATCTCTCTGCAAAATTAAACCTGGGGAGGATGTGGAGACTCCTAGCTGATGGCATAAATGCACTTGGATTTGGATCTCAGGCTGCAGTTCAAGGCAGCTATTGGCTCTAGTGAGGTGTGTTTTTCCGTCAGTCTGGGAACTGAAAAACTGCACGAGGTAGGGATAAGTATTGTATGTCCAAATAGCGTGATTAAATCAGCTTCTATCTCAAGTGTCCAATGCTGCACTGTAGATTTTATGGTATAGATGATGTGATTTGTTTTTTGTTTTAAGGCAGTTGTGTGTGATGTAACTGGAAACGAAGGAAAACACAGTAAAAAAACCCCAAAGCCTCTAGCTCATCCTTGTTTTCAGGAGCCTTTTCATCAAATTGTGTTCCTGTGAGCACTTGATCTGGTATTCTGGTTTGCTGTTCAAAGCCCAAGTTCCGTTCATGTCTTGATATTTAACGTTCCTATCTTTGGCCCATACTACATCAACTTTCTTCATTGTCTCCCATGAAGTATCTTGGAGCATTCAGCTGAAGCTGCCCGAATCCTCACTTCGAATAACAAGTTTGGGTTTTCAGTGAAAGGAGTAAGTTATCAGCATTAAGAGCTAATTCTCAAAAACAGTGGAGTCTTCCCTCAATTTGAGTGGCCATGCCAGGTTCCAGTACCCATGAACTTAGTTTATTAAGCTAATTAAATTAGTGTATTGGGAAAGGAAGGAAAATAACTTGATGCTTTAAAAAGCTGGAGAGAGATGAAAGGATAAATGACCAGCTCAGCCAAGTTGCGTTGTTTAGTTTGAGTCCCTGAAGACCTCTGCAAATTTATCTCAAGGAAAAGGGATTAAGATGTCTAGAGAGGAGTTTGTCATGTATCTTCTGCAGACTCAGTCAGTAAAACTGAGGCCCTGCAGCTGCTTGTTCAGGCAGGCCTGTAAGTGCTGAGTAAATCCTTGCTGGTTCTGCTCCACCTGATGGAGTTTACGGTGAGGCATGGCAAGACCTTGCCTTCTGCTTGCGCTGGCCTTGGTTTACATCCAGTGGCCCCGTTGGCTTTGGCACTGCGTTCCTCAGAGCTGCTTCAGCACTGTTGATAGAAGCCGTTTCCCATCCCTCTGCTGCAGCGCCTTCATTGGCTTTGTCTTCTCTTGTGCTGACTTTACTGGAGGTGTCACGGGTGCCACTGCAGACCTGTGCATTGCTGCTTCTGCTTCGTATCCTGAAGAAGGATGAAACATAAAAGTGTCATCACCCCAGCTGCAAGAGGTGGGATCTCCAGTAGTGGAAACACACTTTGTTCTCCAAATCCTCACTGGAAGGATGACCTCTTGGCCAGCTGTGACACTGCAGATGGGTTATGTCCACCTGCTGACAGAGCTGTAGGTGCTGGAGACACCAGCTCAGGCTTGACATTTTCGGATACTTCTTGCAGGTGGTATCTGGATTCCAAATCTCTCCTGTTCTGTAGCTGGAAAGCTGATGGATTGTTTCTGTTTTGACCTCAGCTGGTCTTCTGAGCAGTTGAGGTCAAGTGGATACTTGAGCAGGAGTAGCCGTCTCATCTCCTTGGAGGACTACGTGTCTCTCAAAGGACACGTAGAAGGAACCTAGGCCAGATTAGCCCCTAGATGTCTTCCCGAGGATTTTGCCTCCTGCCACTGGTGGTGAGGCATGGGCAGACGGGAGCATTACAAGAATAAACCCTCTTGCCCAGGAGGTGAATCCTCTACTTCCACATCCTGGGGCGGGCATTTTTAAGGCTGTTTCTGAGGTAGTGGTAGTGAAGAAGAGGGTGTTAAGTTGCATGAGCAGTTTGTGCCCGGCAAGAACCTGCCTGCCTTGCATGGATGAGCTTTAACAAGGCTTCTACATAGATGTGATGGCTTGAAGGGACTTGGTGGCAGCGTTAGTCCCAAGACAGCTCTAATTAAAGCATGTTAATTTGGTAGCTTGACTTGAATCCGGTACCTTTGGGTACTGGAGAGAGATATATTGAAGCAGAGAACTTCTTAACTACTAGAAGTGTTTCTGACTGAATTATTTGTCTTTGCTGTTGTACTTCCTTAGATGTTGGGGCTTTCTTAGGTGCTCGCAGAAATGCAGACAAGCTGGAAGTGTTTTTACACACTTCACCCCTTTCATAGAGAAGGCAGGGAGAAGTCTTTTTATTCATATGCTTCTGAGTTCCCAGAACTCTGTTCTGTGTACTTACATGTTTTGTATTAATCTGTGAGGAAGTAATATGTAAGTTAAGCAGTGGTCCAGCTCTTCCCTGCTCGTTGACACAGGAAGACAGTGTGATGTTTTGCTGGTGCCAGATTGCCTGCGGTGGGAAGGCATGCTCCTATAAAATGCCTGAAGGGCCTGCAGGAGAGCTGGGGAGGGACTGCTTCCAAAGGTATGTAGCCACAGGACAAAGGGCAGCGGTTTTAAACTAGAGCAGGGTAGGTTTAGATTAGATGTAATGAAGAAGCTCGTTACTATGAAGGTGGTGGCACAGCAGGGGTGAATAGCTAGGAAGACTGGGCAGAACCGAAATTTTCCAGTAAGAAATTGCAGTTAGATCTCTCTGCTAAACCAGAATATGTAAATTAGCTCAGGAATCAGTTTGTGTTCTGGTCCTGTATAGTATCAAGGGGCGTTAGGTCCTGGTATGTGTGAGCCTTGTCGCCCTTGCAGCTTCAAGAGAAAAAATGTGGAAATACTGATTATTGTGAGAAGACTGGCCGTTCGCCTTTTTGATCTTTTGCCTGAACACTCAAATCAGAATAAAATAGAAGGTTCCATGTGTAAAGGGGACCTAAACATGTAGCTCTGTCTCAGACAGAGGTGTTAGTCAGGACCAACCTGTGCTAACGGTAGTTGATCTTGGAAGCATCAGCGCTTGACTGAAATGGAGCAATAGAACAAAGAACATTTGGTACATCCGACGGAGATATTTAGGTGAGAGCTTAAAGGTGAAGTTTCTTGGGCGTATCACTTGGAGAGATTGTCCAGCCAAGAGCAAAACATTGCTGCTTGTTCAGTAGCACACAAGGAGGCAGAAACTCGCGCTGATTCTGGTAGTGATAATAAGGGGGTAGTGTACTGGCTGATACCGGCTGGTTCTCCAGGGACGTTTTACAATCACCGATACATTTATATTTTGCTTCTTCGTACAGGTGCAGTGTTATAGTGGCAATCTAACTTGTACCCACCCAGCTGCTGATGGTCATGTGTCAAATTCTGCTTAAGTTGAATGTTCTTAAACTGTCAGTGCCTTATCTTCTCATTAAAAAAACTTCCTGAGGAGTAAAAGAACAGCAGATATTTTCAGAGTCTGACTTTCTCTTCGTACCGTTCAGCAAATACCTGACTGGTAGAAACCGTCTTGGCAAAGCGGTCATGAATCCACTGTGATAGGTGTCCTGTATTTTGTAGGGTGGTTTTGCCCACTTACAGCTGTTTCTGCATAAAGAAGAGGGGTCTGTTAGGCAGGAAGCTATGGGGGAAGATGCCCTCTGTTGATACATATTACTCACATATGCTGCTTCGCACGAGTTGTCTGTTGGGTTTGCCCGCTGCTTGGCAAGGTATGAGCAAAAAAGCTCTTTATGCCTTGTGGTGACAGGTTAACACTTGTTTAATTTATTATAATCTGCTTTTTTTATTTTTTTTTTGGTGTAGGTATGGTAGTGTTAAAACCAACTTCCAACCAGGAGGGACTTCTGAAAGCTTAATTAATTAAAACTGAGTTTAATTATTGCAGAGTTTTGCGTACTGTCTGGGAGAATTGGTGAAAATGTCTTTGCATGTAATGTAACCAGTGAAGTACAGCTGTCCAAACAAGTTTTGTCTGATATTGCCAATTTGGTTTTGACCAGATGATGATATTAGTCTAATTAACGTGCCACTCGTGATGAATACTAAAGCAAGCTTGTTCTTTGTGTTCTTCCTCCCCCAGGACAAAATGTTTCACTTTTGGGTAAATACATTCTTCATAGGACTGGATGAAAATTCAGACAAAGTAGAAAATGGAAGTCTAGTTGCAGATCAGGAACTTGATGGTATTTTCAGTACAGAGCGCTCAGATAACGATAAGGAATATTTAATCCTTACGTTAACAAAAAACGATCTAGACAAAGCAAATAAAGACAAAGCCAACAGATATTTCTCTCCAAACTTCAAGGTCAGTATAATATTATGTGTAAACAAAGCTGAAAAAGCTGCATGACGTGATCTCATTTGTCTGTCTTGCCTTATGGAGGAACTGCTGTCTGTGTTGAAATTGAATCCCTGTACTGGTGTTGCCACCACTTAGCCACAGCTTCCAGCTTTCTCAGTTTATCTGCTTTTTGGGAAGCCGACAGATGTTGAGAGACTGGGAGTAAAGGCTTTGGGGCCTTTCAGCTGTTTGTCAGAGCCATGAGAATAGAAGGAGACCCAGAAACCCAGGTAGCATCTTCCCAGAGGGGTGCAGCTGCCCTGCTGTAAGCTCTGAGCTTTGCACGGTAACTCCTGAGTTGATGTGCAGAGGAGCCCGCCGTACCTTAACCCATGAGCTTATTTTTGAGGAATACAAGCCCTTGCCAGCACCGTTTTTAAAAACAAGAAAGGCGTTTTCTAAGAATTTGGGCATTTTCTAACTCGTTCACAAAGCATCGTTTAGACCCTGCAGTGCTTGTTCGAAGGTGACGGTCACAGCTGCTTGGGTCAAACCTTTAATACTTGCGCATCACCCGTTAACGGAGCGTTTTCTCGCCAGTTAAAGGGGTGTTTGGTTCGTCCCTGTGCGCTCTTATTGCAACCTCTTTTTGTGCTCTCTCACTGCGATGTCTTTTTGGGCTCGCAGAGGTCTACAAGGTAGGGTGGTCAAAAAAGCTTCGTGTGTGGCAGCAGGACACACCACTGCACCGACCGCTGGTGCTCTGCAGATACGCAGAACTCCTTCAGCTGGGCTTGGTTTTGCCACGGCTGGCGGCGAGAGGCTGGCTGACCTCAGAAGAAGAGCTCTTTCTGTATTTCTTTCTTCCCAGAGTAGAGGGAGGAGCACTTGTGTGGCGCAGGGTAGCGAAAGGAGCCGTGCTGTTAAAAATTGCATTGTTACCTGTGCTTGGTTGACGTCCACATTCCCTTTTTAAATGTTGTTTTTTCCTTTCCCAGGTGAAGCTATTTTTCACAAAAACAGTAGAAGAACCATCAAACCCCGAGGCTAGCAGTTCAACTTCTGTAACACCAGATGTTAGTGACAATGAACCTGATCATTATAGATACTCTGACACCACTGACTCTGATCCAGAGAATGAACCTTTTGATGAAGATCAGCATACGCAGATTACAAAAGTCTGAATATTTTTTTTATCGGAGATAAAAAAGAAAAACAAAAGAAAAACCACATACAAAAAAAACCCCAACCAACCACGAAGAGTAACAAACTTGAATAAACTGAGAAAAAGGACCTTTTTCAATGGCAAAAGGACACAGTGTCAGATTACCAGTTATAGGAACAATTCTTTCCTGACCAATCTTGTTTTGCCCTATAAATCTACAGGGTTTGACACTTGTCCAGTTGGAGGAAATAAAAAAAAAAAAAAGGTTACGTAGGTCTGATATGTATATACCTTTTTGTGTCAAAAGGACATTAAAACTTCAATTAGGAACTATAAACATGGCACTTTCCCATTTTATTCCAGTTTTATAAAAGTGGAGACAGACCTAATGTGTATACGTAGGAATTTTTCCTTTTGTGTTCTGTCACCAAACGAAGTTTCGAAAATATACAGGTTCACATCCTGCCCCTTTTTTTGCACTTGTGTGGCAACAGAAAAGTCTGCAGTTGGCTAAGAGATGTTTCTGGAAGGTTTACTACGTTTTTAATGCATGTATTTTGGATGGGGGATGGGAAGTAATGCTCAGAAAGGAATCTAGTCCGCTGGAACTTGGCCTGGGTACCATATCCAGCTATTTTTACATGCACCTTTCTTTGGCATGCTACCGTAATTCATCCTGGACAATTGAAGAGTCGCCGCTGTCACTGCTTGTTGTTTGTGCATTTTATTTTTTTTAAGTGTAATGGTGCTAGAAAAGGCAGCTAGAGGGAGTGATTCTGTATAGGGGTGCAGGAGTGAACCTTCACGACATCCTAAAGACCCTCACATGAAGGGAGAGAAATTATTAGGGTCACAGAAAGGAAACACAGCAACAATGACTTAACCATACAAATGTGGAGGCTATCAACTAAAATATAGGCTTGAAGCAAATTGTTACAAAATTTGACAATGATACATTGGAGGGTTTTTTTTGTTTTTTTTTCTGAATTGTAATGGCTGCTCCATCTCCTGTGTAATCAAGGCCAGTGCTAAAAGTCGGATGCTATTAGTGCGAACATCAGTCGACATCTTACATTTATGTTACTAGTTTCTTCAATCATATTCCTGCTGTGAATACTTCATGTGCTGCCTTGCAAGCTTTTTTTTCTCGTTAATATTAAAAAAAAAACGCAACAAACCCAAACAAAAAACAACAACCAACTTTGTAATGGTGCACAGGAAATTTCAATTGGAGATTCTCCAGGTTAGTGTTTGGTTTGAAGATTTATGATGCATTTATTCAATCAAACCTCTGTCAGCCGTTCCACCCCTTTGACCTTACACATTCTATTACAATGAGTTTTGCAGTTTTGCACACTTTTTTTAAAAGAAAAATGTCATTAACTGTTAGGGAATTTTACTTGAATACTCAGTACCTACGATGTTTTAAAAACAGACACACGGCATAGGGGAAACCGGTGTTGCAGTACATCCTCAACGCTGCGCGTATACAGAGAGACGTACTTTCAAAAGCAGAGCTTGTCCCAAGTGAGATTATTTGCTATTAAAAACCCCCACAAACCATCCCAGCAAATTCGATTTCTAAACTGGCAGTGGTGTATTATTTGTTCATAGGGATAGAGCTGGGAGTAGGGCTTGAGATTCGCTTTCGGTGAATAATCGACATGCCCAGACTGCAGATGGCTTAAGACTACAACTGCTGTTGCGTACCAGTGCGAAGTAACTGCCAAAATTCTTCTCTCTAAAGCGCGCCCCAAACAGCTCTCCCCAAATTGACACTTCTCTTAGGCTGTAATATCTTCCCCGCCCCTTTTAATTAACTTATTGGTGCTGACATTGAAGTTCATTAGCTGTGTTCTCGCCCAGATAACAACCACGTATGGAGTCTGTAAGAGCCCTGTACAACAGCATTAATGATAAGAATTTGAATGAGACAAGGCAGGACTTCCAGTAATTACTATTGGTAAACAAAGGTATAAAGTGCTTTTTAAAAAATCTGTATTTTTTTTTTTGGAGGGGGGTTACCTTGTTGGTCAATCTTGCTCATCAGATTCATGATTCTAACTTCTAACAAAGCTGAGAAATACTTTCTGACTTCTAGGTTTAATTAGACGTCACTAGCTTAATCAAGATTGCTGGTTCGTTTTTCCCACTGTTATTGATGAGCAGGAGGTGGTTTATCTCGGGACGTGACTTTTAACTCTTACCCTTGAATCGTATTTCGCCTTGTCTGGTTTTTAACAGTTGAAAGTTGTGTTGGCTAATAAACAGAAATGTTCATGCTTTAAAAAGTATTTGGATATTGACGCTGCTGCGTGTCCCACTTTGGATAATAAAAATTGAATTGGTGCGGTTCCGGTATGTAACGCTGAGGGCTGGATCGGAAATCATGACGCGATGGGCTTTTGCACTGTTATTTTTCCTTTGGAATGTGAAGGTTGGAATGAGGGTTTTTGATTTTTTTTCCTTTTTTTTTTTTTTTT